CTCCTCAGGAGTGCTAGAATATCTGATACACGAAAGGAGGCGCTGACCAGGGAAGTGGAAACTATCGAACTTAAGCTAAATGACTCTTACAGGAACCAGGAGAGGCAGGAGGAGCTTAAAACTATTAGTGAAATTGAAAGAAATTCAAAATATTTCTTTTCATATGCCAAAAACAAGGCAAATACCACATCTAGTATCGGGCCCTTACTCAGACAGGATGGGACTTACACAGATGACAACAAGGAAATGAGTGAAATATTGAAATCCCAGTACGACTCTGTGTTTAGTGAACCACTAATCGTCTGAGGATCGACGACCCAAATGATTTCTTCATGAATGAGCCTCAAAACTCCATAAATGTATGCCAGATTTCCGACATTACCCTAACTCCGATAGATTTCGAAAAAGCCATTGACAACATGCCTATGCACTCAGCCCCGGGCCCAGACTCGTGGAACTCTGTTTTCATTAAGAACTGCAAGAAACCCCTCTCGCGTGCCCTAAGTACACTATGGAGGAGGAGCTTGGACATGGGTGAAATTCCAGTCACTTAAAAACAACGGATATAGCCCCACTCCATAAAGGTGGCAGCAAAGCATTAGCTAAGAACTATAGACCAATGCTCTGACGTCCCACATCATAAAAATCTTTGAAAGAGTGCTAAGAAGCAGGATTGCAAATCACCTGGATTCCCAAAATCTGCACAATCCAGGGCAACATGGGTTCAGGGCAGGTCGCTCCTGCCTCTCACAACTACTGGATCACTATGACATGGCCTTGGATGCACTGGAAGAAAATCAGAATGCAGATGTAATATACACAGACTTTTGCAAAAGCATTTGACAAATGCGATCATGGCGTAATAGCCCATAAAATACGTGCTAAAGGAATAACTGGGAAAGTGGGAGATGGATCTTCAACTTCCTAACAAATCGAACACAAAGAGTAGTGGTCAACAGAGTTAAATCGGAGGCTGCCATAGTGAAGAGCTCTGTTCCACAAGGCACAGTACTCGCCCCATCTTATTCCTTATCCTCATATCAGACATAAACAGAGATATACACCACAGCACCGTATCATCCTTTGCGGATGATACTAGGATCTGCATGAGGCTGTCATCTGCTGAGGATGCGGTTAACCTCCAAGAAGATATAAACAAAGTTTTCCAGTGGGCAACGGTAAACAATATGATGTTCAATGAGGACAAAATTCCAACTACTCCGTTATGGAAAACTGGAGGAGATAATAACTAGAACAGAGTATTTCTACTGACTCCGGCCATACAATAGAGAGGAAAAATAATGTAAGGGACCTGGGAGTAGTAATGTCTGAGGATCTCACTTTCAAGGATCACAACAGTGCCACGATCGCACGTGCAAAGAAAATGATAGGATGAATAATGAGAACTTTCAAAACGAGAGATGCCAAGCCCATGATGATCCTTTTCAAATCACTTGTTCTCTCTAGGCTGGAATACTGCTGTACATTAACATCTCCATTCAAAGCAGGTGAAATCACAGATCTAGAGAGTGTACAGAGATCCTTTACTGCACGTATAAGTTCTGTCAAGCACCTTAACTACTGGGAACGCTTGGAAGCACTTGACTTGTACTCGTTGGAACGCAGGAGGGAGAGATATATCATAATCTACACTTGGAAAATCTTGGAAGGAATGGTCCCAAATCTGCACACAGAAATCACTCCCTACGAAAGTAAAAGACTGGCAGGCGATGCAAAATGCTCCAATAAAAAGTAGGGGCGCCATTGGTACACTAAGGGAAAACACCATAAGTGTCCGGGGCCCAAAACTGTTCAACAGCCTCCCATCAAGCATTAGGGGAATTGCCAATAAACCCCTGGCTGCCTTCAAGAGAGAGCTGGACAGATACCTAAAGTCAGTGCCGGATCAGCCGAGCTGTGGCTCGTACGTTGGACTGCGTGCGGCCAGCAGTAACAGCCTAGTTGATCAGGCCTTGATCCATCGGGAGGCCTGGTCATGGACCGGGCCGCGGGGGCGTTGATCCCCGGAATAACCTCCAGGTAACCTCCAGGTATACCTTTATAACTTTGATGAGTTCCGAGAGTTTTTTTTTGCTCCCTGAGACTGGCCATGGGCAAATATGAATTGGTAACATGTTATAACCAGAAACTCGTGCCCAATTTGTTATTAACTTATTAGTTGATGCATGATGCCTCCCAGATCAATTGCCCTAAAGACTGATGAGGACAAACGTCCCGAGGGAAGAAAACGGGAAATTCGTCACTGATGTTCAAGGTAGGGAGAAAGTAGAGCAAAATCTCCACACTCCACCAAGGCGAGTGCAGAAATAGTTAGGACAGGTAGTTATTAAGATAATAAAAATGGTTATAATTATAACTTAATTTTAAAAGGATGGACCGGTAAGCCAGCGGAAAGCGGGTCAGGAAACATTTGTCATGTTTCCTGACAAATCTTACCTAACCTATTTCTTAACTACGACCTCCAAACCCCTCAAAGGAGGTTCCTTGATGCTGGTGAGGGGCTCCTGATCTAGGGAACTGAATCTGTGCTCCAATTCTCTGAATTGGCTTGAATGCCTTCCACCCCCCCCCTGGTCATATGCGCCGTATAATCCGTACGGGTTTAGCGTTCCCATAATAATAATAATAATAATAATAATACATGTAATAATAATAATAATAATAATATGACCTCCAGAGCTGTATAAGACCTGCTCTCTGTGGTGTGTATGGCCTGTGGTGTGTATGGCCTGTGGTGTGTATGGCCTGTGGTGTGTATGGCCTGTGGTGTGTATGGCCTGTGTGGTATGGCCTTGGGGGTGTGGTTGGCCTGTGGTGTGTATGGCCTGTGGTGTGTATGGCCTGTGGTGTGTATGGCCTGTGTGGTATGGCCTGTGGTGTGTATGGCCTGTGGTGTGTATGGCTTGTGTGGTATGGCCTGTGGTGTGGTGTGTATGGCCTGTGGTGTGTATGGCCTGTGGTGTGTATGGCCTGTGGTGTGTATGGCCTGTGTGGTATGGCCTGTGTGGTATGGCCTGTGGTGTGTATGGCCTGTGGTGTGTATGGCCTGTGGTGTGTATGGCCTGTGGTGTGTATGGCCTGTGGTGTGTATGGTTTGTGTGGTATGGCCTGTGGTGTATGGCCTGTGGTGTGTATGGCCTGTGTGGTATGGCCTGTGGTGTGTATGGCCTGTGTGGTATGACCTGTGATGTGTATGGCCTGTGTGGTATGGCCAGTGGTGTGTATGGCCTGTGTGGTATGGCCTGTGGTGTGTATGGCCTGTGGTGTGTATGGCCTGTGGTGTGTATGGCCTGTGGTGTGTATGGCCTGTGGTGTGTATGGCCTGTGTGGTATGGCCTGTGGTGTGTATGGCCTGTGGTGTGTATGGCCTGTGGTGTGTATGGCCGTGTGGTATGGCTGTGTGTTATGGCCTGTGTGGTATGGCCTGTGTGTAGGCCTGTGGTTTTGGCTGTGGGTGTGTATGGCCTGTGGTGTGTATGGCCTGGGGTTTGTGTATGGTTGTGTTATGGCGTGGTGTGTATGGCCTGTGGTGTGTATGGCCTGGGGTGTGTATGGCCTTGGTGTGTATGGCTGTGTATGAGGCCTGTGGTTTTGTATGGCTGTGTGTATGGCCTGTGGATGTGTATGGCCCTGTTTTTGGGGGATGGCCTGTGGTGTGTATGGCCTGTGGTTGTATGGCCTGTGGTGTTGGGTATGGTACTGTGGTGTGTATGGCCTGTGGTGTGGTGTATGGCCTGTGGTGTGTTTGGCCCGTGGTGTGTATGGCCCGTGGTGTGTATGGCCTGTGGTGTGTATGGCCTGTGGTATGGTATGGCCTGTGGTATGTATGTTTGATGGCCTGTGGTATGTATGGCCTGTGGTATGTATGGCCTGTGGTGTGTATGGCCTGTGGTGTGTATGGCCTGTGGTGTGTATGGCCTGTGGTGTGTATGGCCTGTGGTATGTATGGCCTGTGGTATGTATGGCCTGTGGTATGTATGGCCTGTGGTATGTATGGCCTGCGGTACGTATGGCCTGTGGTATGTATGGCCTGTGGTGTGTATGGCCTGTGGTGTGTATGGCCTGTGGTGTGTATGGCCTGTGGTATGTATGGCCTGTGGTATGTATGGCCTGTGGTATGTATGGCCTGTGGTATGTATGGCCTGTGGTATGTATGGCCCGTGGTGTGTATGGCCCGTGGTGTGTATGGCCTGTGGTATGTATGGCCTGTGGTGTGATGGCCCAATAAATGAAAATGAAATTTTTCACGCTGGTACCTCATGACCATCCATCCCTTCATTTGTTTAATTACTTTTTCTCATTTTATTATCAATGAGCAACATATTCAACATCTGAATAAATGCAGCTAGGGTAGGTAAATAATTGTTAAAGGTGTGGAATTGTGTACTGACAATGCAATTATGGGTTACAAGCTGTTGTTTACTACCTATCATTTATTTTTCCCTAAATTTACAGCGTCCTCCCGTGCTACTCGAAAATCGGTGGTAAAATTTCAATCGCGTTTTAATGAAAACGTGCTGCTTAATCGTGTGTTCTGAGAATCCGAACCCCTCAGGGAAGGTTCTTTGATGTTGGTGAGGGGCTCTTGATTTAGGGAATTGGATCTGTGCTCCAGTTCCCAAATTAAGCCTGAATGCCTTCCACATCCTCCCCCCAGGCGCTGTATAATCCTCCGGGTTTAGCGCTTCCCCCTTGATTATAATAATAATAACTGAGAATCCGTTGTATGTAAATTCAAATATGATTTTCATTTTAAGTTAAGGCTGTGTTCTTAATTCAATCAACTTCTTAACTCTGAAAATTATTTGCATTAAGGTTTTAAATAAATCAGAGTAACGTAATTAAATTACTATCTGGAGTATACCTGGAGGGTGTTCCTGAGGTCACTTTCCTTAGAAGACAGGCAAGCGATTAACTGAATTTAAAAGCAAATATATATATCAAAAAAGTTACATCCTACCGATATTGCTTTGCCTCACCTCTTGGTAGATAGGAGAGAGGGGACTGAAGGTGTCATTGACGGGGTGGAGTGTGAGATTGATGTGTGGGGTGTGGTGGAACCAGTCAACCCAGAACACCCGCTGCACCACTGCCTCTGATACAACGCTGTAGCCCTCCATGACCATCACCACCACCTCGCTGCTCCGCCCCTTCTCCCACTATAACGCCCGCCTGCACATCCAACTTCTCGTCATCCTGAAACTGAACACCAGCTATTACCTTACACTGCAAGTTATAACAATCAAATAAAGGGCAGTAGTGCACTGTTATATACAAAAAAGTTATGAAAACCTTACAAAATACAGAGAGCGTAATAAAAATTATATTACAAAGACACTGCAATATATAAAATAAGGAAGTAAATCACTAATAACAATCTTTAGAGGAAAGATTTGTGACGCTCGTATCTACCGGTCCATGAGTATCTACTTCTAATTCACATTATGGATTTATACAATAACATCAAATATGGTATGGTATGATTATTATAACATACAGATGAAAATATTTTTACCAGTGTTGCAAAATGATTATAAGAGTATATAAGTCTGCAGTAGACCCGACCTACTGGCCCATGCCAGGCAGGTCATCGAAGCCTACCATTATATCGTCGTCCAACCTAGTTTCAGCATGTACACACAATACTGATAACCTGCTGTATCTACCATAATAAAACACTGTTTATATAATGACAATGGTACATAATACCGACAAGCTGAGTAAGACACGTTGTAAATGTCTTACTCATCGTCCTGTTTACAGCTTCCTCTGTATTAAGACTGATGAAGCCACTCGTACTCATACGTTTCCTTTAATAAATCATATGAACTGTGCAGAGGGTTCCTTCCTTAACCCCCCTCCCCCCCACACATGCAAATTCATTGGGGGTTGTCAACATTTAGTCTAAACACAAGAGTCGTATTTTGACTTCAGTATTTTACTCATTACTCTGTTCTTGTCAATAAGTTCCATCTCTTTTAAGCAAGGGTCCAATACTAGATGCGGATTTTACACGCGAGGGAAATGTATTATGGATTATCTTTGTAGATAACGACGCAGACACGGATGAACCTGATAGCAACTTTTTATCTAATAAAAAAAATAAAGAATACAGATATAAGTCTCAGACACAAACCTTAGTCACTTCTTCTTAAGTACGAAGCATCGAATGAGCACTTTCATTTTCCTGGTGAAACGACACATTTTTTCCCCCCAAGCCAATTAATTATGTGACCACAGGAAGCAGCAAAGAGGTTAATTAATGTTACCTTTATACCAACCTATTGTCAATTCCGACTTTACAAAGGTAGCTGCAATATAAGTCTTGTTAGTGGCTTATGAGTTCATTTGCACCAGTCTTGCTGAAAGACTGGCACACTCCCTTTCCCGCGCTTGCAACATGGCCGTCAGCAGCAGCAGCTCGTGCAGTGCCGCGTACAGGAGGCACTGCAACGCCGTCATTTGTCACTGGCACCCCCTTATGTTAGTGCAAGTTTTGGGGGAAGGGATGAATCAATACTGCCCCTCCCCGGCCCTCTGCCTCACTCTCCTAATCAACACACGCACTCACTCATATCTGTACTTTGTATACTACTGTAAACCTGTAGCTGAACCAACACCTGTAGCTGAACCAACACCTGTAGCTGAACCAACACTTGTAGCTGAACCAACACTTGTAGCTGAACCAACACCTGTAGCTGAACCAACATTTGTAGCTGAACCAACACCTGTAGCTGAACCAACACTTGTAGCTGAACCAACACCTGTAGCTGAACCAAAACTTGTAGCTGAACCAACACCTGTAGCTGAACCAACACCTGTAGCTAAACCAACACCTGTAGCTGAACCAACACCTGTAGCTGAACCAACACTTGTAGCTGAACCAACACTTGTAGCTGAACCAACACCTGTAGCTGAACCAACACCTGTAGCTGAACCAACACTTGTAGCTGAACCAACACCTGTAGCTGAACCAATACCTATAGCTGAACCAACACTTGTAGTCGAACCAACACTTGTAGCTGAACCAACACTTGTAGCTGAACCAACACCTGTAGCTGAACCAACACCTGTAGCTGAACCAACACCTGTAGCTGAACCAACACTTGTAATTGAACCAACACTTATAGCTGATCCAACACCTGTAGCTGAACCAACACTTGTAGCTGAACAAACAACTGCAACTACAAACTATATACACTTGTAACTACGACCGAATCTGCATATTTACCATTCAATGAATGTCCTTAAAGTTGCGGGCCGCTAACAGCAACAGCCTGGTTGAAGAGGCAATGAACAGGGCCTCAGGTCTGGCTTCGAAGAGTTTGAAAAAACCCTCGAAACCTATCAAAGGTATGCTTACCGTTTATCATGTCACATTGGGGAAAAAATCATCACAAATCGATTCAAACAATTCAAGGTCTTGTATTCGCAATCCACAAATCATATCAACAATTCACTGGGAGTGACATTGATTAAATCAGGTTGTGTGTGGGAGGGGGGTGGGTCAGGTTTGATATGAGGAGAGATTAAGTCGGCTCCAGTTCCTCAGATAAAGAGCCAATTTTCACCTGCCGATGACTATGTGAAACTCCACTTGCCATTGTGGTTATACACACACCTGTATCTGTTACTCTTGTCATACACACACACACACACACACACACCTATATCTGCTACTCTGGTCATGCACACACACCTGTATCTGTTACTCTGGTAATACACACACACCTGTATCTGTTACTCTGGTCATGCACACACACCTGTATCTGTTACTCTGGTCATACACACGCCTGTATTTGTTTCTAGTCATACATACACCTGTATTTGTTACTAGTCATACATACACCTGTATCTGTTACTCTGGTCATACACACACCTGTAATTGTTACTAGTCATACATACACCTGTATTTGTTACTCTGGTCATGCACACACCTGTATTTGTTACTCTGGCATGCACACACCTGTATTTGTTACTCTGGTCATACACACACCTGTATTTGTTACTCTGGTCATACACACACCTGTATTTGTTACTCTGGTCATACACACCTGTATTTGTTACTCTGGTCATACACACCTGTATTTGTTACTCTGGTCATACACACACCTGTATTTGTTACTCTGGTCATACACACACCTGTATTTGTTACTCTGGTCATACACACACCTGTATTTGTTACTCTGGTCATACATACACCTGTATTTGTTACTCTGGTCATACACACACCTGTATTTGTTACTCTGGTCATACACACACCTGTATTTGTTACTCTGGTCATACACACACCTGTATTTGTTACTCTGGCCATACACACACCTGTATTTGTTACTCTGGCCATACACACACCTGTATTTGTTACTCTGGTCATACACACACCTGTATTTGTTACTCTGGTCATACACACACCTGTATTTGTTACTCTGGTCATACACACATACTCATGAGATTATAACTATTATTTCTAAAGTGGTGGAGGGGTAAGCCAGTGGAAGGCCTCGGTGAGATAACCAAAAGCTCCAAACGAACAAAGGGGCACACAGGTAAGAACTCGCTAGGGGGGTGAGGGGGGGGTAAGTGGGGATCGTGGAAGAATAGATAGGGGAGAGGAAAGAACTATAGTGAAAGGAAAGAAAAAAGTCGGGGCTGAAGCTCCAGTGGCGGGTCATTATGCGAGGAAGACCCGCGTCAAAACAGAACAGAAGGGACTCACAGGTGAAGACCAGACCTGCGTCAGGAAACACTTGTACTGCTCCCTGACCAATCTTACCTATCACACATTCGTCACCACTTTCCATTTTTTTAAACTGTTTAAATATTTTACTGTCTGGCTACGAGTACGCCAGCCAATAACTGATATTTTTTCTCGTACCTAATATCACTGTGAGCATTGCAATGTTAAGTGGCAGGTGATAACACAGCTGCATATTAGTGTTCGACAATGCCTGCAGCTATGCTATACACGTGGTTGTTATACTACACACATACCCGCAGCTATGCTATACACGCACCTGCAGTTATGCTATACACGAGGCTGTTATGCTACAACCGCACCTGCAGCTATGCTACACACGCACCTGCAGCTATGCTACACACGCACCTGAAGCTATGCTACACACGCACCTGCAGCTATGCTACACACGCACCTGCACTATACTACACACGGGCCTGCAGCTATGCTACACACACTTGCAGCTATGTTACACACGCACTTGCAGCTATGCTACACACGCGCCTGCAGCTATGCTACACACGTAGACACATGGCAACAGAGTACGTACTTGCTATTGATTGTACTCTTGCAGCGTAGTAACAACAGAAAACGGCGAAGTACACGGAAGAGAAAATGTCGAGTCTGTTTACATGTGGGCGTTGTCAAGGGTGATGGGCGTTGCTGGGTGGTGATGGGCGTTGTTGGGCGTGGTAATGGGCGTTGTTGGGTGTGGTGATGAGTACTGTTAGGCGTGGTGATGGGCGTTGTTGGGCGTGGTGATGGGCGTTGTTGGGCGTGGTGATGGGTGCAAGATGATGATGGGTGGTGCTAAATGCAAGATGATTATGGGCGGTACTAGGCGCGAGATGATGATAATGGGCGGTGCTAGCATGCCACTGACAAGAGTCGGCTAACACAGGTACCCGTTCACTGTGTGTGTGTGTGTGTGTGTGTGTGTGTGTGTGTGTGTGTGTGTGTGTGTGTGTGTATGTGTATGTGTGTGTGTGATGTGTGTGTGTGTGTGTGTGTGTGTGTGGTGGTGTGTGTGTGTGTGTGTGTATGTTGTGTGTGTGTGTGTGTGTGTGTGTGTGTTGTTTTGTGTGTGTATGGGGTGTGTGTGTGTGTGTTGTGTATGTGTGTGTGTGTGTGTGTGTGTGTGTGTGTGTGTGTGTGTGTGTGTGTGTGTGTGTGTGTGTGTGTGTGTGTGTGTGTGTGTGTGTGGTGTTGGGTGGTCGTGGTGTGTGTGGTGTGTGGTGGTGGGTGTGGTGGTGTGGTGGGTGTGGTAGGTGTGGTGGGTGTGTGGTGTGTGTGTGTGGGTGTGGGGTGTGTGGTGGTAGGTGTGTGTAGTGGGTGTGGTGGTGTGGTAGGTTGTGGTGGTGGTGGTGTGTGGTGGTGGTGGTGTGGTAGGTGTGGTGTGGTGGGTGTGGTGGTGTGTGGTGGGTGTGGTAGGTTGTGTGGAGGTGTTGGGTGTGGTAGGTGTGTGGTG